AATAATAATAATAATAATAATAATAATAATAATAAACTAAAAGCCTAAAAAGTAATACAGAAAGAATGAAGAAAAAAAATTAGCACAAATTAACTATACTGCAAATCACAACCATTCATTAATGCTTGAAATTTTATAACAAAAAACTACATATCAATTTAAATTACTACAGACGAGAGAGAGTTTTAAGTATAATACCAGTCATTTTCAGGTACCACTATTATTTGATGAGTCATTAGTACTAGAAGCTGCAGCTGCAGTCGCTGCAGCAGCTGCAGCTGCGGCACCAATATTTAAACTTGGTGTTCCGGTAGGAGGTGTTCCAGGCCATATACCAGAATATTGTTTCGAAAAATTATCCATAGCAATCATACGTTGTAAATGTTGCATATAAGTAGCTGCTGCAAGCTGATGCTGATAACCACTTAACATAAATGATGTTAAATCTGCTGCACCATTTGCAATGCTACCATTAGTGCTATTTATTGTAGGGACAAAAGCAGGAATATTTGTTAATGAAAGTGCAGAATTCATATTTGCCGCTGTTTTTGTACGCTCATTTTCTGGACTTACTGATGATGCTATCGTACTCACCGGAGTTGTCCTACAACAACAAAAAAAAGCAATTTATGAAAAATTATTATTTTATTTTTGTATACTTGTAAGTGAACCTGTATGCACAACAATATCATAAATACTTAAAATCTAATGCATTCATACATTGAATGTTTTGTAAATAGAATTTCATGTGATGTACAAAGTTTAGATAGATAGATAAATGCATTTAGATGATAAGCAACCTGTTTCCATCTGAATTGCATGTACTGGCAGAAGCAGCATTTCTGCTAAGTGTTTGCTCGTTTCCGGGGTTGATAGTGGTGGATAGCTGCGAAGGGCGAGCGATAGCTTCAGTAACATCTTTTAATGAATTTGAAGCTATGTTAGAAGCAGCATTCAGTAGTGCAGGTGTTGCTATCAATGCTGCAGGATTCATCATTGACTCCGCTATAATAAAATGCAATCTCTATTTTTTCATAACGCACACTAAAATATTTAAAAACTACGAGTTATGCATACTAACCCATGGCTTGATGTTGCGCAGTCATAGCTGCCATGATAGCTGCTGGATCAGCACTGTTTTCAACAGAGTGTTGTGCGGCAGCTGCGGCAAGAAGGGCGTAAGGATGAGGCTGTACAAGCGGAAGTGGAGGCCTTGACGCATGGTGTGACGTACCGTGACTATATGGATGCACGGTGGAAGTCCGTTCTTGCTTCCTCCACTTGGCTCGTCGATTTTGAAACCACACCTAAAAATTAATTTCAATTAGCTTATTTCTTTTTCTCTTCCGTTGCTTTAAAATAAACCGGATTTACTAACAATAATTTAAACAGTATTTCATCTTTATTACTGATAAAATCATCTTAATCGTAATATCAACTGATCACTTGATTGATAAAAATAATAGCATCAACAATTCCAAATAACATTAATGAAAAGTTGTTGGTGTGTTTCACCTGAACTCGAGCTTCCGTGAGAATCACCCGTTGAGCTAATTCCTCCCTGTAAATATTGCTTAAGTCAATAATTACTTTTTTAAAAGCTGCAATTCAAAACTTACTCTATCAGTAAACAATTCTAACTACCTTCTTTGGTCATGCAATCAATTTATCTCATAAATGCCAAAATTTGCCGCTCTTAATAGTTTATTTTATACCTCGTATTAATTTGCAAAACTTTTCAGTTTATATTTGCAATAATTGGAAAATTTTTGCATATCCATTTGCAGCCTAATGAATAATTAATGCTTTCTTCTAATATTTTCAACTACTTGCGTACTTACTTAATGATTAAATATCAAAAATTAATAGCGCACAAATTTCTTTATTAATTACCATTAAAAGAGAACATAAAAGAATGATTGCTAATTTTATAAAGTTAATTTGAAGATACAAAAGCTGCAGCTTCATATTACAATCCTTAATAGATGGTATTCAGTTAGTCACCAGGTGTTTTTGCAGATCCCTACAATTAACAAATTATCGCGGTACCATACTCAAATATACCGAGAATAAAAAGGTAAGTACTCTTACTACGTGGGGGGTACTTATCTATCATATTTTATACTTATTTCCTTTTACCTCTAAGTAGCACAGTGTTACAGGTGAATTATGAACAATAATTTGTTGCAATTAAATACTTATATCATTTGTCGGTACTTTATGCATTCATTTCCATGAATTCATTTTAAATGATAATAATTATTAGTCTTTCTGAAGTCTCTCACATTTCACTTCATTTTTTGCTATCTTTAGATAAGTAAATCGTACAAGGAGATATCAGATGTCCGGCATCTGCAAATAACTTTTTGATTTCTTCTCTTGCTTTCCACTTAATACAGTAAGATTTTATCTAATTTAGACTTGTCTTCATAGTAGATATTACTTTGAAATATTCAAATATGTCAAATAAATTAAACTGAACAAAGTATTAGTAAAATATCAGATCATTTAAATTGAAATGGATCAATTACATGGCAGAGTTACAGTAGGATTTAATTAAATTTATAACATTGCGCAACAAAGAGCACATTTAGTCCTGTTAAAACCCTTCAAGACAGTACTATTTAAGTCAATGTATTTTTATTTTCCAAGAAAAATTACAAAAATATTCTAAAAGATACAAAATGGAATTCGTGACGAATGAGCCAGAATAATCTACAAAATCAAATAATCCCTTCAATTAAGTTCCTACTGTAAGATGTGAGATTGGTCAGTTGTAGCATAATTACAAAAGTCAAATCCGTAATAAATAAATTCATTCGGTAAGTATTGCAAGAAGATATCATCTGAATTAGTTTCTTTACAAAAGATAATAGTATGATGGAACTTAATTCAAATTTTAGAGTTTTTTAATGATATACATTTAATCTAATCAAATTTCATATTTAAAAATTTGAATATTAAACAGATACTGAAAGGAAATTAACAAATAAAAGAGTTCAAGCCAGAAAGAAAATTTGAATTTTGAGTATAATTAAAAGAATAATCGCTAACCTGGTAAATACATCTGGATAGTGCGTCCTTGCAAAAACTTTTTCTAATTCGTCCAATTGAAAAGCAGAAAAAGTTGTACGATATCGACGCTGTTTCCGTTTTCCACTACTATCTTCTGGACTGTTAGAACAAGATGAGCGCCGATCATTCATACTTGATGAATCCTAAATTTCATCTTATGAACTTAATTACTGATAACTCAATAATTAGCTTATCAATAATTAATAATTATAGATAAAAATTATTGCAAAAAAAGAGTCAAGTTTTTTAGTCACAAATACATAGCTTATCTGCTTTTAGTTTCAGCCTGCAAGTATATACACAAAGGTCAGTAATTTATTTAATTCTAAGCCTTGTCACATGAACTTTCACTGAATTTCGACAATTTTTTTAAAGGCTGAACAAAGTACTCAAAATGAGTAAGTAATCTTTAAAAAGTTTTAATTTATAGCTAATAAACTTTTAAAAAAATGAAAAAATGACTATAATTTCAGCAACAAAAAATATCTTACGGTTGATCCAGATGGTTTCATGCTGTGTCCTGTTGTCCCTAAAATCATAAAATTTTGAATTGCAATGATATGAGGCGGCAGCATTGTTTGATTCATCATAAAGCGCCAAAATTTGCAGAATTTTTGTTGACAAAAAAATGGGAACTAACAAAAATTGACATCAAATAACAAGAATCTATGCAAATTTTTTCAATAAAAAATAAAACTGCCAAATTTTAAAAGAAATAATAAATTATTATTTATATTTAATATATTAAAGTCATTCGTTTTCTTTAGCTGATTAATATTTTTTTGTTGTTGTAAAAACATGCAAATTTTCAAAGCAATAATTTTTTAAAGCAATAATATTAGCATTTTCTATACATATATATGTAATAAAATTGAAGGTAATAAAGTAACCAGGTGAAGAATCTTTCTGGTTAGAAGAAAAAATGCGTCGTTCGTCATCTGTATCCTTCCTTTCAACGGGTAATTTACTACTACTACTACAACTGCTGCTTGTAGCAGTGGCTGTGAGAGACGAAATAGCAAACGGAGAATTCAGAAACGAGCTAGTTTCGCTTGGCTTTGCTAAAGCTATTGCTGAAAAGTCTGAAAACAAAGAAATTCTAAAATAATTTCTATAAACAATAATAATAGCCAAATTATAAAAATAACACGTCAATATTGCAATTTTTTTTAAAAGAATTCTTGCAAATTAACAAAATAATTACCATATAAAATCATTGCACACTATTATTTACTGTTATCTATCTGTACGTGCTTATTTATACTTATCTTTAACAGCTTATACACTTTTATCAAAAACACTCAAGTATTTGAACTGTCAAGCAAAAGTACATTAACACTAAAAATTGCTCTGAAAAAGTAATACTGTGTATTAATTTCTTATTTTTCACGTTCTTACGTGGAAATTAGGATTAATGCAATCGCGCATTTCGTTTAAATTCTTTCAAAAATTGAAAACATTTGTATTGGCGTAAAAATTGTGATATTATCAATTTCAGTCAACTTCAGTGATAAGCTATATGAAATAATTTGATAATAAGTTTTGATTAAAGTAAGTTTATTATTAAGATTTGAGATCAATCTTTTCAAGACAAAATTGCAAAATGCTGTGAGAGGGACTAAATGTAATTCTTCATAACTTAATTATAGTAAATAATACTGGAATGCTGTTGCAGATGATGATGTTGTTGAGCGAACAATGCTTTCTGCTGTTCATACAACAGTTGTGTCATTGTCATGGGTGGATGTATGAGAAACGGATTCAAGTTAGGCACCGATGACGGTACTCCAACTTGTGTTTCCGACTCCACTTCTGGCGTTTTTACGTCTGAATTATTCGTATCCACTTCCGCTGTATCAGATGCTGCGCTTTTCTCCGTACAATCTGCACTGGTTGTTAAATTCTCGGGCATTCAATTTTTTGGTGCAAAAATTGTGAGGCAATTTTGAAAATTCCGCTTTTTCAGCGTGAAAATAGTATTTGCCTTCAATAATGCGTAATGTCCTTCTTAATTTTGAATATTCTGAAAAATTCAATGCTCTATAAAAGTAATAATAATGTTGTTAATTTTAGAATTGTTTTTAGCAAATTTTCAGTTAATTTTTATTGAAGCAAACATTGCAAAGTGCTGAGCAATTTTTTAATTAAGCATATTGACAATAAAATATCTTTTTTAAATAATAAAATAAATCTTAGACAATCATTTAGCATTTGCAAAGATTACTGTTAAGAATGTGAACAAGCTTTGCAAGTGACTGTATAAAAAATTAATCAAAATGAAATATCAACAAAATATGCATGTCAATTTGATTCATAAATGATAAATGGCATTGTTATCATTAATGATGAACTTTTAAAAATTTGAATAATTAGTACTCATTACTGATAACTAAGGATTTTAATCTACAATTATTATTATTAAAGACTAATTAGCGAAACTAAACTCTATTTTTTGGATCAAATATCCCTCAATACTGCAAAATATGCTTACTTACATAGTTATTATACTTTCATATTTTTACAAAAATCAAATTTCTATACATAAACAAATATTTAGAATGCAAAATTAAATAAACTAGCGTATGTGCTTTATAGACAATTTTGAGTACAAGTTTAGATTTTATAGCAAAATTTAAAGCAGCAGAAAAAATTGAAGATAAATGAATGAACAAATAAATGAAATGTAAAAAAGATTCAGTCTGAGATATATCAAGGAGGTAAAACCCCCAGATACAGGGGGAGCGGGACATCGAGTAATGATCCAATATGAGCGGGGAAAAGGTGGAGCGACAAGTAGTTGACGTGAGAAAAAGAAGAAGAGAAAAGTAAATAAATAATGTAATATAAGAAGTTTAATTTTCTCGTAATTGAGATACAAATTTTCACTACACCGAAAGTTAGTCAGAACGAAAGTAAAAAGTTAGAGTAAACATTCTTGCAATCCTTACCTAAAGGAATATGTCAAAATTTGCCCTACAAATTATTAAAAAATACGAAAATTTCGCTATTTTAATAAGGATACGGTAGTTATTAATAATATTTAGTTAGTTTTATTAATTTTTGATTGTTATTATGCTAATAAAATAAGTTAATAAATTTTGATGCTAATTATTTAGCTTGCATAATCAATAAAAATTAAGTAATAAACTTTTTAGCTATTACAAAATAGTAAAATAAAAATTAATTAATTAATTCAACTAGTAATAAAAAATTAGAAAAAAGTGATAAGAAGAAAAAGTAATATTACTTACAATATAATATAAAATTATTAAAGTAATGCTTCAAAAATTCATTATCACATTTTTTTATAAATTGCTAATTTATGAAGCAATAAATTTGCTTGCTTTTATCAATCATCCATCCATCTATTTTTCTAAAGTCAAAATATGCACAACTTATTGAGTACTCATAACTTTATGATATTTAGTGAGTAAATACTACAAAAGTACTGAAAATACTACTTCGCTTAATTATACTTTGCTTAATTTTCACACTTAATAAAGTTTTTTTTTTTAATTCAAAATAATAAAACTATCGTTAGAAAATTAATCTTTTAGCACTTAAATATTTGAAGAAATTATAATAATTGCAAAGAAATCGTTTCAATTCATAGCTTAAATATCAAATAAAAAATTGCTACATTTAAAAATGAAAAAATAATCTAAAAAATTCAACAAAACTATTAAAATAACAAGTAATTAGTTAGTATAATTCTGGTATTAAATTAAAATATAATTATAAAAATGTCAAACAAAGTCATTTTAGTAATATTTAAGACAAGAAAAAAGACAAGATCGATGTACGATTAAATATTTTTACATGAAGAAAGAATACTTGCATAACCCTTCAAGCTAGCTGTATATTACATGCTTTCTTCCATATTCTCATTATGCATAATTTAAGTGCCCAAATTAATGCTGTAGTTAGTATAATTAATTCTTGCAGCCTTTGCTAGTCAGCACTAAAAAGTTCAGGTTTACTCAAAGTGCACAAAATTAAAGGTCAATTATTCAAAGCTACAAACTGTAATTCTGAATCAAAACATGATTCTGAATCACAAATTATCTATCAAATAAATGAATGAAAAGTATTTCTGTCATGTGTTATATCAAAGAATTAAGGTAATGCTTGATAAACATGAAATGATAGTGTGCATCATAATGAATGTGATTCATGATAATAATCATTAAAATAATAACCAAGTAAGCTAACTACGAATAAATAGCAATAATCAGTATAAAGTAATAAAAGTAATGACAATTATTGGAAATAAGAAAAAAGTAGTAGAAGAAAAAGAAATAGAATCTATCAAAGGCTTAGCAAAGTGGCAATTAAAGGAATGGAAATAATCAGGTTGAAAAGTAATAAATTTAATAAAAGTTGTAAAATAGATGGAATTATTGCGTGTTTTAGGTAGCATTTTTATTTAAACCATTTCTTATGAGAATTATTACAAAGCCTTAAATGAACAAAGTAAAGAAGAATAATTATTATTGAAAGTAATAATTACTTTTGCTTCTTCTTTGCTTCTTAAGTACGTACGCTAAACAATAATAATGTTTGCTTAATGACATACTTATATATTCAATCAAAGAAATGAAAAATAGAAACGGCAGATAAAGGTTTTGCACTAAGTTTAAATTTTAATTTTTTGATATATAATTTAATCCTTTTTTCTATTCCTGAACTTCAATTTTCAATAAACTTGATTTTCAAGTCTGAGACGTGTATGCAGATAGACAGATAGATAGATAGATAGATAGATAGATAGATAGATGGATAGATGGATAACTTTTAAAATTCAAAAGTCTAAACTTCTTAATCTTCTAAACTTTCCAGATATCACTTCAGTAAACAATACGATAAGCTGATAATGATAACTATAACTGCCAATACTTGCATTTTATCAACAGTTTGTACATTTAAAATGATTCTAAATTCAGCATTTCATATATGATGACTTATAAAATAATTTTTAAAACAATAAATTTTATAAAAGTGATTAGGGTTCAAAAATATATTACTTACTCTCTGCAAACCTGAAATTAAAAATTAAGAATTAATTATTGTTTAGAGTTTTAAAATAAGTGTTATTAGTTAATGGAATAATTACAGTACGTAGTATATATATTAATGCTGAAAACAACAATTTCCAATATTTTATAAAGCATTAGAATAAACTTTTAAGTAAAGTAACTTAATTGAAGTAATTACATCAATACTTACATGTAACTGTAAATTCATCACTGCAAGTAGTTGAAGCATATACTTTGTAAGCTTCATTACTGAATCCTATTAATGATTAGAACTACTATTTATTGACAATAAAGTCTACAATTTTATCATTCCTATTATCACTGTATTACAATCAAAGAACGATAATAAACTGATATTTACTGATAAAAAACTTTTATATTACTACCATATGACTACCTTAATCATTATGTAAATTCCATATTTTTTGGTAAAATTTTCGCGCACGTATTCCTTAAAAAATTATAAACTAAACATCAACTCATATTTTTTTCTGATTATCCAAATTAATTAATGGCGGTAATTTACTGGAGTTTATTTGAGCTTTTTTATTTAATAATAGTGACCTTGCTAATTTAGCAAATTACTGATGCAACATGTACGAAATCTGAGATCAAAAACAGTCCAAACAATTGACCTTTATTTTACAGCATAGACTGAATGAAGCTGACCTTTATGACATGAAAAGTTTTGTGAGGCATCTTGAGGTGAAAAGTTAGTGAAAAAATTTACTTCTCCTTATAAATGCTTTTAAAATGCTTTCCTGCCAAGGATATCTAACAACAAAAGCTTGCAGTTTGCAACAATTTTAAGCTTTTCTTGAATTTAATAAGATATAATTTACCCACTGATCAAATGCCTGTGAACTCATAACTAACTTAATAGATTTACTCAATAACTTAATAATTAACTGAATTAATTTATTCAATTCTGAAGTGAAACTTATACAGATAAATTGTCCAAATTAACAAAACTTTTAAATTTTAAGCATTTAAAATGGCTCATTTTATGTAATCAGACAATTTAATTTTGCAATGCTTAAAAAAGATTAACGATCTGTCTTTAATGAAAATATTATTAAGTAACTCATATCCGTTTTCGATTTATTACGATGGCAACGATTAAAAGTAATACATCACAGGCTATAATATTTAAAGCGTTAAAACGATGCAAGCTTCTTCTTCTAAAATTTTATGCATTAAAAGTAACTAAAAATCAGATTACAGTAATGATTTGCCACTTATCTGCTCCTACAATTATACTAGTTAAATCAGTGTGCTAAAACATCAAAAATACAGACTTTAATTTATCTCTTTGCGTCAAGAAACGTAATTACTTAATGAAGCAGACTATCCAACAGTTATAATTATCAGTTTGTGAGAGATAAGAATGACCATATAAGATTGAGATCAATTTGGATAACAAGAACAAAAATGATTCTAATGGATGATAAAGAAAAATAAGCACAGATAATCTAGAATAAATTTATCATAAAAGAAGAATTAAAAAGTAAAAAGAAGGCCTTAAAAGGAAGTTTGCAATTAATGAAACAATTTATTAGCCATGGGGAGACTGATAATTTGGTAGTTAAAAAAAAAAAAAAC